TGTCCATCAAGTGATGAATGTGATTTAAAAAAAAAAAAAAGTGATCTATTCCTCAAATGGAATATTATTTGGTAATAAAAAGGAATGTAGTATTGATACGTGCTAAAATATGAATGAATCTTGAGCAAGATTAGCCCACATGCAAAGTTGGAGGGTGCAGTCTATAAGAGATTACCTTCACTTGTAACACTAATTATAAATTTGGGGGTTCCTAAAACCCTCTTAATTGTGATAATAAATTAGAGGGACACACAGAACTCACTGAAAGGGGATATCCTCATGGTTTATTACAGGAAAAGGCTCTAGATTAAAATCAGCCAAGGAAAGAAGTACATAGGACAGAGTCCAGGAGGATTCCAAATGTGAAGCATCTGGTTGACCCCTCCCTGAGTAGCCAGGACAGTGTTGTTCTCCTGACATTGATATAGACAATACGCAAGCAGTATTGCCAACCAGGGAAGCTCACCCAAGCCCTGCTGGCCAAAGTTTTTACTGGGCTCCCATCATGTAGGCATATCTGATTACTTATGTGGCTGATCTCAGTCTGTAGCCCCTCCACATATCTATTGATATTGGGGGTGACCTAAAGCCCACACTAAATCACATTCCTGGTCTTCCTGGCCAGCCCCGACCCTAAGACTGTTTGATATGGCTGGCCTCCACAGACTATCTGGTGACCCAAGACTCCCAAGCAAATAAAGATATTATTAAGCATGACATTGCAAGAGCTTAGAGATTATTCCCAAGAAGCTGAGGACAAAGGCCAGATCTCTGTGCAAGGTTAAATTCTTGACTACAGAAACCTTGGAAACATTATGTTAAGTGAAAGAAGCCAATCACAAAAGGCCAGATATAATTCCATTCATATAAAATTTCCAGAATAGAGAAGTGCATAGAGAAAAAAAGTAGATTAATAGTTACTGGGGGATGGGAGGGTGGGGATGGTGCCCGGCTGGCTCAGTCCATAAAGCATGGGACTTTTGATCTCAGGGTCGTGAGTTCAAGTCCCACATTGGGGATAGAGCCTACTTAAAAAAAAAAAAAAAAAAAAAGTTACCTGGGGCTAGGTTGGGTGAAGTGGAGGATAGGAAAGGTGAGTGACTGCTAATGGGTACAGGGTTTCTTTTTGAAGTGTTGAAAAATTATATGGTGCTGATGGTGGCACAATCTGTGAATATACTAAAAACCACTGATCTGTACACTTTAAAAGGTGAATTTTATAGAATGTGAAATATATTTCAATAAAGCTGTAAAAGCGAAGTCGAGTAAAATGCAAAATTAATAAAATGAATAAATAAGTGAATAAAAAGGGAAAAAAAGACGAGAGCAAAGGAATACTAATTCCAGTTTCATTTTTTATTTAAGGTAAAAAATAAAGGTAAAAGTCATGGCCTAGAGATCTCACAAATCTAAAGCACAACATTTAAAACTGGGGAAACAGGAGCAGGGAAACCATTGCCTTCATGGAGGAAACTGACAACCAATGTCAAGAGTGAACTCTGTCACCAACTAGGTTTTTGTGTACAGACTCCTCTTTCTTCTCTAGGTCCGTAATTCCCACTGTATCCTCTGCTCCTCTGTCTCACTCCCTGTGGGCTTTGTTCTGCCAGGTGACCTCTGTTCACTTGCTTGCACAGGATTCCAAGATGCCACACCCAGCCCAATCCACACGAGCTACCTACCTTACCACAGCCACTTAAAATAATTTCACTTGACTCTCCAATACTACCTTCAGAGTCAACAAAAGCAAAACCAAACACATGCTCTCTCAGAATTGACTGCCTATTCCAACTTCCCCTATGGCATAGTACTATTACGATCCTCCAGAATTCTCAGTCCCAAATTTTAAGTCATCTTTAATTCTTCCCTCATCTGTAGCATCCACATCTAGTCAGTCTCCATAGCCTACGTGTATTAGTCAGAGTTCTCCAAGAAATAGAGACTGAGTATAAGGAATTGGCTCACACAACATGAAGGATGGTAAGTCCGAAGTCTGCAGAGCTGGTGTCTCTGTTTGACACTAAAGGTCAGCAGGCTTCTGAAGAACCAGGAAGAACCAGTGTTCCAGTTCAAAGGCTGCCAGGCAGAATTCTCTCTCACTTGGGGGAGGTCAGCCTTTTGTTCTATTCAGGCTTTCAACTAACTGGATGAGGTCCACCGATATGACGGAGGCTCAATCTGCTTTACTCAGTCTACAAATTTAAATGTTAATCTCAATAAAACCCATACAGAAACACCCAGAATAATGTTTGACCAAATATCTTGGCGGCCAGTGGCCTAGTCCAATTGATGTCAAATTAACCATCACATCATGGTTTTACTTCTGAAAAGTCACACTCTTTTTTCTCCATTCTCAGTCTCACTCCCATCATCTCAGTTCAGGTCCTTATGATCTCCTACTGGTTTTCAGCGCAAGGATGTAAACCAGCCCCCTTCCCAACCTTCAGTTCACACATCACTGGGTTTGCTGTGAATACATTTACTTTCAGAAATGTTTTTAACATATCATTCCTGTCCTGTTCCTTAATTCACAATGACATCTTACTCTAAATAGATCCAATTATTTTTCTCACAATATATTGCTCTATATAATCCAGCCGTACTTGCCCTACTGACCTGTTCCTTTCATCACTCTCCTAATTTAGAACTTGTAACTGGCCAATAACTTAAATATCTTCTCCACGCATCCACACCCATTCCTTCCGCAAAGCACCCCCCTTTTCTGGAAAGCACTCTGCACTCTTCTTTACCTACCTCAATTCCATCCACTTGCTAAGGTTTGTCTCCAGCTTCAACTCCTTTCTGAAGTTTTCCTATTTCTCCAAACCGTATAAATCTTTTAGTTTTCTAATCCTCAACGTTCATTTAAGATAAACAAAAGCATTGCTACTCTAAACTACTCTGTCTTGTTCACAGATTTCTTTCTTTCTTTCTTTTTAGAGAGTGAGAGAGAGGAGAGAGAAAGGGAGGGAGCGTAAGTGTGGAGGGAGGAGCAGAGAGAGAATCTTAAGCAGGCTCCATGCCCAGCACAGAGACTGACACCAGGCTCAATATCACAACGCTGAGATCATGACCTGAATGAAAATCAAGTTAGACGCTTAACCGACTGAGACACCCAGGTGCCTCTCATGAGTGTATTTCTATTGCACATCCCTCTTTCCCTAGTCCTCAGTCTCACCCTATCACCTCCAAATATACATCTTCTATTTATTTTGGGTTGAAAATCTTGTGCTATGCCAAGCACTGTGTAAGGCAGTAGACATACAAAGAGGTGCTACTCTCAGAAGACTTACAGTCTAATAGGAGAGAGATAATTATTGTAATAACTAAGGAGCAATGTACTGCACGCTGTAACAAAGGTACATACAAAGCTCTAAGGGAACACAGAGGATGTAACTCAGGGAGAAAGTAAATTGCCCTAGTAGAATGATGTGGTAGGGGATAAATTTAAAGGGAGGAGAGGAAAAGGCATTTCAAATACTGAAAATAACCGGTGCAAAAGAACAGAAACAATGAAGAACATACACACACACACAAATGTAGATATATACACAAACATATATATGTATACATACATACATAGAGATACATACACATATATTCATATGTATTCATATAAGGTATGATGAGACATTTACCATGATGGCAAACAAACTGGGTATTAAGGATCAGAACCCAGGCATAGAATTGCTGAAAAACAAGAGATTAAATTCAACAAAGGAATCATCGAATAATACGAACAGAGCCCCAGAAACAAAAATATCTGTAGTATTGAGAAGGCTAAGTCCAGATCTTGAGTGGAGCTGAGGAGAAGCAGGCATGGCTGGAGCATGGAGCCACACCACTTCTAACCAAGGGAGTTGGAAGTCTCTAGAATATAAGTAAAATTTTATTTGTCCCTTATCCATGATCATAAAGAACAAAGTTTTTCATAACTCATTTGGCAACAACTCTAAGCTCATCTGGCAACAAAAACTGGCCTCAACAAATAGGAAGCTATTTATTATCTTTATCTCTTTTAGTATTAATATCTATGAATTTCACTGCAGAAATAAATATTAAATTATTTCATTAGCAGGAACTGTTCCAAACTCCATTAAAAGTGACATGACATGAGGGGTTCCGTCAGTTAAGCATCTGCCTTAGGCTCAGGTCATGATCTCAGGGTCCTGGGATCAGCCCTGCTTTGGTGGGGAGTCTGCTTTTCCCTGTCCCTCTGCCCTCCCCTCCCTGACCCCACCATCTCTCTCTCATAAATAAATCTTAAAAAAAAAAAGTGACATGACATGTAACACAGGATTTATGTTCCATACTACCTTAAAAAAAATCTGATAAATTCTTAATTCCAAAACATACCTGGCCCCCGGGGTTTTGAATAAGATTCTATGGACCTTAGATTTTGAGATTCCACAGAATGAGATACAGAAAGAGGTCTCTTGCCCAAGAAAGGTTTTAGAGTTCATGGAAGATCCATTTAGGAACTGTTTTGTTAAGTGGAGGATAAGTTCTCAGTGCCAAACACATTCTATTATCGACTGCCTTTGTGATCTGTGACAGTTTATTTTGCTTATATAATATTAGTTAAAAACAAAAAATAAACTGCCAATCATAGACTCTTACATCAACCTTTTTACTCCCCTTATAATGCCAAGAATACCAGGAAAAAAATTGTAAAACAACATTCTCTTTGCCTCCTATAACCTTAATAGATAGTTTCCTGGAATTGTCTATTCAAACAGAAAATTAATTTCCATGCACAGCTGGAAATACCACATTGGCAAGCGAAGAAAACATCAAACACCAGTAGATTAAATAAAAAGTGTAGGAACTATAAAGACTCAACAAAACAGAATTTGCTCAGTAAGATGGTCCTATGAAAACAGCTTTTCACCGTTTATTTAACGTATGAATACATCTCTTAAAGTGAAGTAGCAATAATCAAGGAAGCTTTGGATCCAGAGAAACACTGAGAGGATTATATCACTCAAGCAGTTTTTCTACCGCTGTATGAAAGGAGAAAAGGTTAGCACCTCCTTTGCCAAGGGTGGAAGAGGTCCTTGGGTCTGTACACCATGTATGGGTAAGACATTGCACCGAATTTGTAGCTTCTCGCCATGGCTGGATTTCTTTTTTCTTCACTTTGGGATGGTGAAAAAGTTCTAGAGATATATAGTGGTAATGGTTGTGCAATAATAATGTGAATGTACTTAACGTCACTGAAGTGTACACTCTAAAAGGGTTAAAATGGTCAATTTCATGTTATATATATTTTACTGTGATAAAATATAATTTCAATAATAAACAAAAAGCTCTTGAAGTCAATAAAAAATAGAATAGTCTAAAAGAAACATATGCAACAGGCACAAACAAATTCAAAACAGGGGAATCCAATAAATACATGGAAAATGTTCAAAACCACTAAGAAGAATGCAAGTAAAAATGACGACACATGATCACGTATCATCTTTCAAATTAGTGAAGATTAAAAAAGATCAAGAATTTAAAAAAGAAAAAAGGCAGCTTTTCTAGACACACCAACAAGATTGGGTTTTGTTTACACGTCGTGCTCCACTGGCTTCAGCCTAATAGGTATTCCTCTTTGGACTGACAGCCATCAGGAAACAGCAGGCTCGTGGTGGGTGCCATCCCTCCCTGACGCTGGACCTGCATCGGGCAATGACTTGTATGGCCAATATTCAACTAATAACAAACTAAACAAAATAATACCCTTTGTACAAACACTTCAAAAACAAGAGATGGAGAGGCAAAAAACCAGAATATCACCTGTAGGAACTGCTCCAAGCAAGAAGCAGTAACCACATGGGAATGAGAAACCGCAATCGGCATCCAGACAGTTGGCCCCCTGGGCTCTGGCTGCCTCGATTCTCAAGTTGTCAGGAGAAAAATTAAAAAAACCCCAGCACGGACACTTTGTAAAGAACAACAGAGAGAAATTTCAGTAAAAATCAATTTGTTATGAAAGCAAGAGAGAGAAAAAAATTCCACCTGGACTTTTATCATTGCAGGACTTCGGAACGCGTGAAAGGTTGAGTTCAGGAACATTTCTAGACCAAGCATAATGGAGTTCCAAAGTGACATACTGTGTCACAAAACATGGAGCTCCATCTCTGTTGACCAATGACCCCAAACCACCACGTCCTTCAGTAAACCTGCTGGGATTTCCCACAAGCCAAGTGAGGGATCAATTTAATTAGCTACACATAGGAGGAAGTAATTAGATGGCAAAATACATGGCACCAAGCAGGAGCTCAGTAAATAGCTGTTGAACTGAAACACGTGGTAGAAGCTAATAAACATGACTTATATCTATTGATGAAATTTATTAGATTATTATTCCAACTTTCCACCAAACTTAACTTAGGGGGAATACGGGCTTTATCCATAGAGCAAAAGCTGTAAAGGTTCTACTCTTTTCCACTTGGCATCACCAGTTACAACCAACCCCCCACATGGTGCTCATAGGCTCAGTGAGGATTCATTTCCCCAGATCAGCATCTCTGACTCACTTTCTAGTGACAAAAATACAGAAATTTTTAAGTATGGGGTAAAACATAAATGATGCAAAGGTGATCAAAACAAAGATTCTAACAGAAGACAGACCTGATGCTACATAAGCCACCTCAGTGAGACCCACTCAAATAAACTGGAAGCCAGCCTCTTTTAATACCCTATCTGAGAAATGAGAGGACTCACTCTGTCACTTCCAATCCTCCTCACCTTCTACTCACACTGAAAACGCATTTCATATTAAATGAAGTATATTTACACATATATAGAAACATACTTATCTATACAAAATGCAAACATCATTTTCACAAATTAATACTTAATCTTACAATGCACATGGCACCCTGGTATCTTGTAATGTGGTTTATTCTATTCCACTGTTTAACTGCAATCTATGATATTGATTCTATCACCCAATAAGAGTTCATGACATGCAGAAAACACAGGACTAGATGATTTCTTTCCAGATCATTGAAAGAAAAATCATGATTTTACTTAGAAGCAATCTAAAAATATCCACCACTCCTAAATACTAGCTCCTCAATAATCTTTATAAAGCTAATTCCTGAATGAAATGACATAATCCCTGTAACATTTTTGCCCTCTCTTCTTCCTCACAATAAATATCCATGATCCTTTCCACTCAAAAGTCTTTAAGAGTGATTTTCCAGGGTGTACGACTCCTGCCACATCTCATGGCAGAGGTGAATGCAAGGGATTTTGCCCAAAAAAAAAAAAAAAAAAAAAAAAAATTTAGACATCTACCAAAGGAACTCTCTTAGCCCATAATAAAGTACATTTGAATCTTTGTAAACCACCAGGCAGTCACTAACCAAAAGTCAAAATGGAACTCAGGCAGCAGCAGCAAACCACATAAATCTTGATTTTAATTAAATGAAAGGTATTTCATAGTAGTTGTATTCTCCCTTCAAAACTACAGAATTTGTTCCCTGAAATAAAATTATTCTAACTTTCTAGAATAGCATCTTTGTCACTGTTGCAGATTTTCTTACTTGGATGACTTCTGTTGCAAGACCCCCCACTTCACCCCACCTCATTTTCACCATCTTTAGTAATGCCCCAAATTTGTGGGTGTGCAAGAATCTCTGGTGAAAAATGAGCTGGCTTTGAGTCAAAGAATACTTCCCAATCACAACTGGGTTTTTTTCAGTACATAGCTAGGGAAAGGTCTTGTTTACTTCTTCCCATTATAGCTGAAAAACCATCTAAAACATTGTCTCCTCAAAGGCATTACAATATAGACATGGAATGCTAACAGCATCATTTGTGCTTGTCAATAATTTCAAAATGCTTTATTCTGTAAACCTCTTGATTTCTAAGTCTACAGGGTAAAGAAGAAATAAATTCCACATGTATTTAATAGTATTTGGATATTTTATTCATTACAGTTTACAAAATAAAATGGAAAGCCTCGAAGTTTTAATTTTAAGAAAGCACTTCAGTTCATAAATATGAAAGAAATATGAAAGAAATATTAATGTCAAAAAATTAGGTCCATTGTAATCCTGTAATCAAAGCAATCTGTGTCTTCTCCAAACTTGGCAAGACACATTTTTATTTTTAATTTTTGAACTACTAATTCTAGAGGAAAAACAAACACCATTAACGTCCTCTTCAGTCACTAGCTGTCTGTGCCATGTGTTTTTATCGCTTCCTGCCACAAGGAAACACGTTTGAAACAAAGAATGATATTCAAAAGAGAGTTCTTAGGGTGATTCTACAGTCATTCTCTCAGGAATTGAGAAAGAGTATAAACACAGTATAAACATATTTAAATAAAAAGAGTGATAAAACTATCCAGAAAACCTTCACATTTCTTCTATTACGTGATAATCCTCAAAACAAGTCTGCCAAGATTATCTGAGAATAGACCGAGTTGGTCAAGTTAAACAACTTTCCTTCACTAACACAGCTAATACATGGCAGAGCTAGAATCTAAATCCACTCTGTTTCACACCCAACCTCATGGTGAAAATTATATCCCACTGTTTCCCCTATGAACCTTATGATTAAATTGTAGGTTTTTATTTTAGGTTTTATTTTAGTCTATTTGCCTAAACCATCACGGGTTTTGGTGTATGAGCAGGGAAGAGAGTCTTCACTGAGGCTATAGATGATGAGAAGAACGTGAAGATGGATTCTACCTCCTCAAGTGGTGTTCTACACTTACTTATTGAGTCCTCTGTTCTAGGTAGTACACTAAATACTGGGGATCCTAAACAAAGATGTAAATTATAGCTCTTACTCTAAGCAGTCTTGTAAGAAATTTAGAAAGGGAACTGTTTTAGTCTGTTCAGGTTGCTATGACAAAAGACTGGGTGGTTTAAACAACAAAATTTTTTTTCCTCTCATGGTTCTAGAAGCTGGCAAGTCCAAGATCAAGGTGCTGGCAGATTGGGTGTCTAATAAGAGTCCTCTCCCTCATTTGTAGATGACTACCTTCTTGCTGCACACTCACATGGCCTTTCTTGGTACAGGCTCATGGAAGGAGATCTTTCTTCTTCCTATAAGGGCACTAATCCCATCATGAGGGTCCTAGTCTCCTGACCTAATCTAAACCTAATTATCTCCCAAGGGCCCCCATCTAAATACCAATACCTTGGGAGCTAGAGCTTCAACATATGAATTTTGGGGTGACATAAACATTCAGCCCATAACAGGAACCCAACATGCAAAACAAATCATCACGATTAGTTTGATATATGTAATTCCACAAATATTATCACTTAATTACATTCCGTAAATATTTTTTGATCGTGAAAGGGAAGTCAATTTTTGACAGCAAATGAAATCCATGAGATAAATAATCTTCATATTTCACAAATGAGAAAACTATGGTTCAGAAATGATAATTTGTTCAAAATCAAAAAGTGAGCGAGGGAGGGAGACTGGACCTACACATGAATCTACCTAGCTTCAAAGCTCAGCCTCTTTCTACTACAACAGGAGAGCTGTAACCAAGGGCAACAACAGCCTTCCTCGCTGCCTCTTCTAGGATGTGTATAGTATGGCTCTCCCTACCAAGAAAGGGAATAGCTCCAAGAGCCAGGTACAAACACACACCAGCACATACAAACCCTCTGAGTAAGGGATGACTAAGGCCTGAATGCTGATACAATAAAAGCAGGTCAGGGAACTGATTAAGGGCACATATCCTAAATTAGCCTGTCCCACCTGCAAAAGAGAACATTCTACCTAGTAAAATGGTAAAGCCACTGGTTTCATGGCAGACATAGTACCACTATAATTCTCAAAAAAAATTTCATAAGCTGAATAACAAGAGAATAAAGATACATACATATTTGAAAGTTTAAATCAATATAAAAAAAGTATTTTATTTTATTTATTTTTAAAGATTTTATTTCTTTCTTTGACGGAGAGAGAGCACAAGCAGCAGACCCCCCTGCTGAGCAGGGAGCCTGATGTGGAGCTCGATCCCAGCACCCCGGGACCATGACCTGAGCCGAAGGCAGTCGCTTAACTGACTGGGCTACCCAGGCGTCGCTAAAAAAGTATCTTCAGTGGTGAAGCAAACCAACCTAGGATGGAGACACAGATCTTATTTATCTTTCTTCAGCTCTGA